ACCTTAGTGTTCGCAGCGATTTTAACATAAAAACATCAAAAAACCAATGGTTTTTTCAACAAAAAAAATGTCAAAATCTCATCCCGCGCGCTCTTGCGGATTCGTAGGAAACCCAACACTTTTTAAACATTTCTGTCAAACGGGCTTTTGCGAGCAACTTTTTCGAACTTCTGCGACAACGGTTGCGCACCTGCCAGGGCCATCATCCCTGTCAAATAATACCATGCGGGACACATTCGTTTTTTCTTCGCGCGCGCACGCCGAAATCTCCAAAAACCATTGGGTTCTGTGGGTGTGTACCCCACGCCAGTGTAGTAGCCACGGTCGTCCGCACGCCACGAAGTGAAGTGTCCCAACGTCATAGGGCGGGAAGCTGGGTTTGGGTGGTCGCGAAGAGTCGTTTGGATATTTGGTAGAGCTTGTAATGCCCCCCCACGAAGTGGGGGTATTGCCTGGTGTCGTATGAAAACCCTGGCACTGGGGAGAACACCACGCGTTCGGGTAAAATGATTGTTGTTGTTGGTGTTGTTGTTAAACTCTCATTCTTGAAGAATAATTATTGTCGATCCCCCCCCACCGGTGCACATGGATTTTTTTCGATTGAAGTGCCACCCCCGGGGCTCGCACTCTGTTTTTTCTTCAGGAAAGTCTTCCTGCTCAAACTGTGCCCCTGCCCCCCGGGCTACAACAACAACGGCTCCCGCCTGAGACTTCCTCGGTTTTTACTCAGGAGCCCCGCTCCCGCCTGAGACTTCCGCGCAATTTATTCAGGAAAGGCGCTCCCGTCTGAGACTTCCTCGCAATGTAATCAAGACCCCCGCTCCCGCCTGAGACTTCCGTGCAAATTACGTGGGAACGGCGCTCCCGCGTGAGACTTCTTCGAATTTTACTCAGGACCCCCGCTCCTGCTTTACATTTCCGCGCAATTGGCTCAGGAACGGTCTCCCGCCTGAGACTTCCTCGCAATTTAGTGAGGACCCCCGCTCCCGCCTGAGACTTCCGTGCAATTGCTCAGGAACGGCGCTCCCGCTTGAGACTTCCTCGCAACTTAGTCAGGGCCCCCGCTTCCGCTTGAGATTTCTTCACAATGTAGTCAGGACTGCGCTCTCGCGTGCGACGTCCTCACAAATTATTCTGGAATTGCGTTTCGGCGCTCAGGAACCACGCGCGCGCCAAGGACGCCGTCACAACGTGGTATCTTCCCTCTTCCTTCGTCCTTCCCCCTCCCCTTCCTCCCGCTCTTCCTCGTTCTTCCCCTCCCCCTCTTGCAGGGCCCGCGCCAATTCCAATGGCGGGCAGAGAGATGTACGCCCCCGAAGGATTGTCCGCCCGTTCCGGTTTGCCCGTGCGTCTAAGCCCGCCGGCCCCAGCAAAGAGAAAGAATCCCCCCGAAGGGGGTGTGATCGAAGACGAAGAGGGCGGGTACCGAGGGTGTAGGGTATACGTGTTGAATGACTCGCGGGCAAGTAAGAGCGTACAGCCTTAAAATGGTTGTTGTTGTTGTTGTTGTTGCTGTTGCTGTTGCTGTTGTTGTTGTTGTTGTTGTTGTTGTTGTTGTTGTTGTTGTTGTTGTTAGTGTTGGTTTTTGTTGTTGTTGGGTTGTTGGTTGTTGGTTGTTGGTTGTTGTTGTGTTGTTTGTTGTTTGTTGTTTGTTGTTTGTTGTTTGTTGTTTGTTGTTTGTTGTTTGTTGTTTGTTGTTTGTTGTTTGTTGTTTGTTGTTTGTTGTTTGTTGTTTGTTGTTTGTTGTTTGTTGTTTGTTGTTTGTGGTTTGTGGTTGTGGTTGTGGTTGTGGTTGTGGTTGCGGTTGTCGTTGTGGTTGTTGTTGTGGTTGTGGTTGTGGTTGTGGTTGTGGTGGTTGTTGTTGTTGTTGCTGTTGTTGTTGTTGTGTTTGTTGCTTGTTGGTTGTTGTTTGTTGTTTGTTGTTGTTGGTTGTTGTCATTGTTGTTGTTGTTGCTGTTGTTGTTGTTGTGGTTGTGGTTGTGGTTGTGGTTGTGGTTGTGGTTGTGGTGGTTGTTGTTGTTTTTGTTGTTGTCGTTGTTGTTGTTGTTGTGGTTGTGGTTGTGGTTGTGGTTGTGGTTGTGGTTGTGGTTGTGGTTGTGGTTGTGATTGTGGTTGTTGTTGTTGTTGTTGTTGTTGTTGTTGTCGTTGTTGCTGTTTTTGTTGTTCGTTGTTTGTTGTTTGTTGTTTGTTGTTTGTTGTTTGTTGTTTGTTGTTTGTTGTTTGTTGTTTGTTGTTTGTTGTTTGTTGTTTGTTGTTTGTTGTTTGTTGTTTGTTGTTTGTTGTTTGTTGTTTGTTGTTTGTTGTTGTTGCTGCTGCTGCTGCTGCTGCTGCTGTTGTTGTTGTTGTTGTTGTTGTTGTTGTTGTTGTTGTCGTCGTCGTCGTCGTCGTCGTCGTCGTCGTCGTCGTCGTCGTCGTCGTCGTCGTCGTCGTCGTCGTCCTTTTGGGGTGTTCGTTTAGGTATTTTTGAAATTTCGCCCCAAATCCCGCTGTAGGGGGACACGCCCCACCTAAGCCGAGGCGCCCGATGAGGAAGAGGCGGTGGTGGAGGCGAGGGCCCGCCCAGTGCAGCAGCAGCAGCAGCAGCAGCAGCAGCAGCAGCAGCAGCAGCAGCAGCAGCAGCAGCGACAGCGACGACGAGCAGAGCGGCGACAGCCAGGGCGCCTCCGACAGAGCCGGCGCCGCGCCGCCAGCGCAGGCCCAGCCCTGCGGAGGCGGTGGCGCGGCGCGTCGACAACGCCCAGCCCGCTCCGCCTTTACTGACGCCGCCTGGGCGCTTCTGGGCGGCGTCGACCTAGAAGCCAAACTCCGCCGCTGGGTGGCGTGCATCTGGGCGCCGCCGGCGTTCCTTCGAGGCCGCCTCCGGCAAGCCTACCACATGGTGCTCCAGGAGGTCTTGCGCGCGGGCGCTCTCTCCAGCGAGGACGGCGAGCTGCAGAGGTTGAGGGCGTGGGCGCTGCTGATCCTTCTGTGGCGCCTGCTGCTGCAGAGGCCCGCCAGCGCCGGGGCCCCAGGGCGGCGAGAGCTCGAAAAGCGACTGGAGCAATTCGAAGAGGGCTCGTGGGAAGCGCTGCTCACACCGAGCGCTCAGGCACAGGGCGCCCCAGCCGCGCGCCGCGCAGACGACGCCGAGGCGAGCCGCCAGCGCACCCTAAGGAGAAGGCGGTGGCGCTGGTCAGGGCAGGCGGCCTCAGCAAAGCGCGACAGTTGTTGGCGTCGCGCAGGCTAGCGCCAGGCACGACCGAGACGCTGGCTGAGTTGCGGGGCGCCGCTCGGCGCCCACCACTGCCCACAGCCGCGCTGCTGCCAGCTGCGCGCGCTTTCCGCCCAGCCCGCCCGGTCGAGCTAGACCGCCACATCTGGACTGAGTGCGTCCGCTCTGCGCCGAAGGGATCTTCTAGCTCGCTGAGCGGTCCAAGCTTTGAGCTCCTCAAGTTGGCCTTGGACGAGGACGACGCGGTCGAGCTTCAGGCTGCTATGGCGGAGGTGTACGCCCGGGCAGAGATCCCAGGGAGCGTCGCCCGCGCCCTCGGCATTGGCCGCATGACCGCGTTGCTGAAGGACAACGGCCGCGCGCGAGGGATAGTGGCAGGAGATGCCTTCCGCAGGCTCGTCGCGAAGGCGCTCTCTCGGCAGTTCGGGCCGAGATGGACGACGCCTGCGCTCCTTTCCAGTGCGCGCTGTCGACGCGAGCTGGTGCAGAAAGCGCGGCCCACTTCCTCCGCGCCGCCGCTGACGCTGACGCCGCCGCAACGATCGTGAGCATCGACGGCGTTGGTGCCTTCGACCACGTGCGCCGCGACCGTGTGATCGAGAAGCTCCTGTCCTTACCTGGGGCCTCTGCCTTGGTTCCCTTTGTGTTGCTCTCGCGCGGCCAGCCGTCCAGGTGCTTGTGGACAGACGACGCAGGAGTTGCGCACTATGTGACGCAGGGGGAGGGCGGAGAGCAGGGCGGCCCGCTTATGCCAGCGCTGTACTCCTTGGCCCAACACGGCGCCCTGGAGATGGCGCGCGCGGCTGCAACCTGGAGAGGAATTGCTTGCTTATCTCGACGACGTCTACATCAGATGCAGACCAGAGCTGCATCTTGTATGTCCTATACCGTGCTTGTCCCTGAACCCCACCAGCTACCGGTGGGCATGCTCGGTCTGGACTTTGGACCGCAAGTGTGGCGCGAGTTCCGCGTGTGGGCCGTGGCGCGCATGTCCGGGGCATGGCCCCTTCCTGTGCTTGGCGTGCCGCCCCTCCCTGTCACCTTGGCCCGCTGTGCTGCGTCCGGCGCCTTGCAGGTGGATATAGCCCATGCGCTCTGCGGGTGCCCCGGGCAGACTGTGCGGCGCACGGAGTTGGAGACTCGCGCCCTGCTTCCGCCGCTGTCGCAGGCGGGCGTGTATATGTACCAGCTCTTCCGCGACGGGCCGCCGCCCGAGCAGAGACGCACCACGTGCTCTTCGTGGCGCGCGCCCTCCATGATTCGATCGGCCTGGACGCGTTCTGCCACAGGGAGGCCACGTGGCGCGGACGGACCTCGGTCTGCGTGCCCGAGGGGCCCGGTGCAGCCGCCCAGCACCGCGCGTCTGGGGCAGCAGCCGCTCCGTCCCCCTTGCCTGGCCACCCTATGGTGCCTCCCGCCCCTGCCTTTCCCCTCCGCCGCTTCGCGTGCCTTCCCTGTCGTTGCCCGTCCCCGTGCCGTCTGCGGACAGGGGGGGCAGGGGCGTTACCTGGTTCTTTTCCAAGGTGCGCGCCAGGGAGGGGTAGCGCGGGCCGAGGGGCCAGTGCGACGTTGCCTGCTGCGGAGCCTGTGCTGACCCACGACGGAGGTGAAAGACCCTGTCCGAGACGGGGCCAGCCCCGTGGCCCTTGCCCGGGATCGTAGGGGCGGCTGCGACCTGAGCGGCCCGCGCGCGGTGGGGCGCTGGGGCGGCGCGCGACCTCGCGCTGCGCTCCAGACCCCGTCGCCGCGGTATGAAATGAAATGAAAAATGCGACGTCACGAACGCAAGGTGGGAGTGGGCGGGCATCGAGGCGAACCTCGGCAAGTGCCGCATGTGGAACCGAGGCGGCTTCGAACCAGAAGGGCACCAGGCGCTGGGCGCAGACGTGTGGGTCGGCGGCGCCCCGGCGCCAGAGGAGCACCGCGGCCTCAAGGTGCTCGGCGCGCCCCTGGGCACGCCGGCGTTTGCAGCCAGGCAGACGCAAGAGCGGACAGACGAGGAACGCAGATTTCTTCAAGAGCTCCCACACTTGCCCGACCTTCGGTGTGCCTGGGCCCTCCTGCTGTACTGCGCTGTGCCACGGTGCAGCCGCGTGTTGCGCACGCTGCCGCCGTCGTTGTCGCGGCCTTAGGCGGAGGGGCGCGACCGCTCGCTCCAGGAAGCGCTGCGCGGCCTCCTCGACCTTGCCCCCGCGCCAGCGGACGCAGAAAGACTCTTCCGCGTGAGTTCGCTGCCGCTCGGCCTTGGCGGTCTCGGGTTGAGGTCAGCAGCGCGCGCGGCCGAGTGTGCCTACTGGGCGTCGTGGGCAGACGCGCTCCCCATGCTGCGACAAGGAAACCTTCTTGCAGCGGCAGAGCTCACTGCTGCCCCCCGCACTGGGACAGGCGCCGCGGCCGAGTGTCTCCAGGAGGCCGTGCGCGCTAGGGTCGCAGCCGCTCGCGACAGCTTTGCTGGCCCAACCTGGCAAGAGGTCTGGGACGGCGCGCGCCCGCAGCAGACGGAGCCAGAGCCTGGCGAGTGGAAGCACGGATGGCAGTAACACGCGTCAGCAGCACGAGAGCAACGGTTCAGGGGGGATGTTGTGCTACCCAGCCTCGCAGACGACCAGCAGTGGACGCTGGACTCCCAAGGCGGCCACTGCGGCGGGCGACGCCTTTCCCTGATCCCGACGACGCCCGAAACCACCTCCACACCAGAGCGTTTCCGCACGCTGCTCCTCCGACGGCTCCGCCTGCCTCTGGACGCCACAGCCAGCAGGTGCAACGGGCGCTCCTGCCATGCACACCTTGACTTGCGCGGCGACCACAGAGCAGCCTGCCCCCGCAGCGGACGGCTGCTCGAACGCGGCGCCCCCATCGAACGGATGTGGGCCAGAATTCGTACAATGTTCGGATGCATTGTGGCCCCGGCGCCGCGTCTACTTGTGAAGGCTCTCCGCATGCCCCTACGCCGCTTCGCAAGCGGTGATCCTGATGGACAAGATCTCACAACGTGCGTTCCCGTGACCCCCTGGGTCCCTTCTGGGGGCCGTTCTGGGGGCCTCTTGGGCCGCATTGTGGGCCTCGTGGGTCGTCTTGGTGCCCTCGTGGGTCGTCTTGGGGCCCTCTTCGGGGGCCTCCTGGGCCGTCTTGGGCCGATCCTGGTGGCCTCTTGGGCCTTCTTGGAACGTTGGAACCCCGAAAAAGAATAGCTCTAAAATCCGGCAGAAACAATTTAACAACTGTGGTTTGGGCCTGTTGAGGCCCCTGTGGGGTCCTCTTGGAGCCCCCTGGGGGCGTCTGCAGGGTCTCCTCGGCCGTCTTGAAGCCATTGTGGGCGTCTTGGGGCGTTCTGGGGCTGTCTCGGAGCCGTCTTGGAGCAGCGCAATCGCACTCGAGGGTCACTCGTAGTCTTTGGATACCTCAGGCTGGAGCCCTCCTGAAGGCCCTCCGAGCCTCAATCCGAGCCCCGCAAGAGGAAGTAGTTGTACAATGAGCGGATACATGGTGACCCCCTCGTTACGAAGCCTAAAAACGCTTTCTCTTGGGGCCTTCTTGAGTCTCTCTTGGGCGTTTATGGGGTTTCAAATAGGACCTAGAGTAACGCAAACTTGACACAATACCCTCTCCAATGAGGAGGCGATTTGTCTTACATGTGTGTTGATTCATTGGCCCTCTTGGAGGCCCCTTAGGGCCCTCAGAGGGCTCCAAGAGGGCGAGGGCCCCGAGAGGGCCTGGATATGGCTCCAAGAGGACCGAATTTTTCAACACAAACAAGACGCTCTCCAATAAGGAGGTGGTTTGTGTTAAATGTAGGTTGAATTCTTGGCCCTCTCGGAAGCCTCTCAAGGGCCGCCAGGTGGCTCCCGCAGGGCCCCAAGAGGCCCAGGCGGCCCCCGTGAGAGCCCCAATATGGCTCCAAGAGGTCTCGAAATTGTGCACAGCACCAGCACCAGCACCACGGGCAGCCCAGGCAGCACCGCTAGCACCGACGCCAGCAACAACATCAACATCAGTAGCAACAGCAATGAGAGAGTCAGCAACGGAAAGATGATTCCAAGGGGGGCCAAGCGGGGTTTTGAAAGGATCACGACATTCCCCCTGTCGCCCCAAGATGCCCACCCCTGCTAAGCAATGGCCCCGATGTGACCCCAGAGCGACCCTGCGGCCCCAAGAGAATATCGAGACGGACCTGCTATCTTCCGTCTGAACTACGGCTACCGCGTGACCCCAATGTTAGGAGGCCCCGGGACGACCCCATGACCCCAAGACGACTTCGAGATGGCCCCAAGATGATCCCTTTCAAACCCTCGTTGACGAACCCAATATTGTTTCACTATGATTCCAATGTGAGGCCGATGCGTTCCTTTCTTCTGCCCTTGCTCTTGGCTTGGGCCGATAGGACGGATGGGGGTGCTGGCCCTCCGCCCCCTCGTCGTTGTTTTCTTCCTCCTCCCCCTCGTCCTCGTCGCCCTCGTCGTCGTCGTCGTCGTCGCTGTCCGCCTGGTCCCGTTGGCCCCATACGCGGAATGAAGCCGAATTCCGAACACAAGCCGGATCTTTTCATTCTCTGATACTACTACTACTACCACTACTACTACTACTACTACTACTACTACTACTACTGCTACTACTACTACTACTACTACTACTACTACTACTACTACTACTACTACTACTACTACTACTACTACTACTACTACTACTACTACTACTACTACTACTACTACTACTACTACTACTACTACTACTACTACTACTACTACTACTACTACTACTACTACTACTACTACTACTACTACTACTACTACTACTACTACTACTACTACTACTACTACTACTACTACTACTAACTACTACTACGGGCAACTACTACTACTTCTACCACCATTGCCATGACTACTAGTACTACTACCACCACTGTCACTTTAACTATCGCGACGACTACTTCGACTAGTAGTAGTTGTAGTAGTAGTAGTAGTAGTAGTAGTAGTAGTAGTAGTAGTAGTAGTAGTAGTAGTAGTAGTAGTAGTGGTAGTAGTAATCGTAGTCGTACTACTACTACTACTACTACTACTACTACTACTACTACTACTACTACTACTACTACTACTACTACTACTACTACTACTACTACTACTACTACTACTACTACTACTACTACTACTACTACTACTACTACTACTACTACTACTACGACGACTACTCCTCCTACGATCATTCTATCCGACTTCGACCCCCGCTGCTTATCCCTTTCTTTTCTACTACGGATACGAAGGCTATAGTTTGTCGGCTACTGCTACTACTAATCATATTACTATAACTACTACTACTACTAGTACTTTTACTACTACTACTACTATTACTACTACGCCTACAACTACGGCTACAACTAGTACTACTAGTAGTAGTGCTACACTACTCCTTCTACTGCTACCACCTACCACTACGACTACTACTGGTACTGCTGATATCACTACTACTAATATTTTCCCTACTGCTATTATTTATACTGCTACTGCTATGACCACTCGTACCACCACGAGTGCCACTACGACACAACTATTACGATTACCACTACGATTGCGGCGACTAGTACTAGTACTAGTACTACTACTATTATTATTACTACTACTAGTGCTACTGTTTCTACTAGTGCTAATGCTACTACTACTACTACTACTACTACTACTACTACTACTAGTACTACTACTACTACTACTACTACTACTACCACTACTACTACTGCTACTACTACTACTACTACTACTACTACTACTACTACTACTACTACGACTACGACTACGGCTACGGCTACGACTACGATTACCACTAGTACGCTTGCTCCCGCTACTACTACTACTACTACTACTACTACTACTACTACTACTACTACGATTATTACTTTCTATTACTCCAACTATGTCTAGTACTCATAGGAATGCGCCTACTAGTAGTTTCACTACTACTACGATTACTACTTCGACGACGACTATTATTACTGTCATTATTATTACTACTACTACTACGGCCCCAGCTATCACGAATCCCACGGCTATTATTATCATTACTACTGCTAGTACCACTACCACTACTACTACTACTACTACTACTACTACTACTACTGCTACTGCTACTGCTACTGCTACTACTGCTACTGCTACTACGGGCAACTACTACTACTACTACTACTACTACTACTGCTACTACTACTACTACTACTACTACTACTACTACTACTACTACTACCACCACGGCCACTACTACTAATGGTACTACCACCACCTGCCACCTATAACTATCGCGACGACTACTACTACGACTAGTAGTAGTAGTAGTAGTAGTAGTAGTAGTAGTAGTAGTAGTAGTCGTAGTAGTAGTAGTAGTAGTAGTAGTACTAGTAGTAGTGGTAGTAGTAGTCGTAGTAGTAGTAGTAGTAGTAGTAGTAGTAGTAGTAGTAGTAGTAGTAGTCGTATTAGTAGTCGTATTAGTATTATTATTATTAGTAGTAGTAGTAGTAGTAGTAGTAGTAGTAGTAGTAGTAGTAGTAGTAGTCGTAGTCGTAGTGGTAATACGAATACTACCACTCCTACTACGATGACTTCTATCCGACTCCGATCCCTGCTGCTTGTATCCCTATCCATCCCACTACTACTACGACGGCTTTTATTCGCCGAATACTGCTACTACTCATACTATTACTATTATGATTATTACTACTACTATTATTATCACTACTATATTACTATTACAACAACAACTACTACTACTATCATTATTATTACCATTAATATTACTACTACTACTACCACTACTACTACTACTACTACTACTACTATTACTACTACTACTACTACTACTACTACTACTACTAGTACTACTACTACTACTACTACTACTACTACTACTACTACTACTACTACTACTACTACTACTACTACTACTACTACTACTACTACTACTACTACTACTACTACTACTACTACTACTACTACTACTACTACTACTACTACTACTACTACTACTACTACTACTACTACTACTACTACTACTACTTCTACTACACCAGCTGCTCTCCATACGCTCATGGGAAGCGCTTCCGAAGCCCTCCAGAAGCTCTCCAGAAGCTCATGAGAAGCGTTTCAGAAGCTGTCCATAAGCTCATGAGAAGCGCTTCGGAAGCTCTCCGTAAGCTTGGCAGAAGCTCATGAGAAGCCCCTCATGAGAAGCGATTCGGAAGCCCTCCGTAAACTCATGAGAAGCGCTTTAGAAGCTCTCTATAATCACTCGAGAAGCTCACGAGAAGCGCTTCGGAAGGTCTCCTGGAACTCATGAGAAGCGCTTCAGAAGCCCTCCCTAAGCTCTCCAGAAGCTAATGAGGAGCGCTTCGGAAGCCCTCCATAAGCTCATGAGTAGCGTTTCGGAAGCTCTTCAGCATTTCATGAGAAGCGCTTCAGAAACCCTCCATCAGCGCTCAAGAAGCTCGTGAGAAACGCGGCAGAAGCCGTCCAGAAGTTCTCCAAAGGCTCATGAGACATGCTTCATAAGTCGTCCAGGAGCT